CAATCGACCAGCAGCAAGGCTCGCCGCTGCTGGTCGAAGGAAATCAGGACCCAAGTTGCTAACGGCAGTGTGGCTCGAGTGGTTCTGCAAGTTGGAACCCTATGCACATGAAGACCGTAGACGTTACCATGAGATGAAAGTTACGGTTGCATTTATGCGTTTATTCTTACCGAATGGGTATGACGCCACTGGGAACTGCGCTGCCGACAAAGAGCGAATTCTAGAGACTGGTCGTGAAGCTGAAGCGAATATCCGAGTCCTGCTAGATTCACATCACAAGAAGGCGAAATCGTACGGGACTGTGATTAGAGCTCTAAAAGAGATGCACGAGGCGGGCAAGCTAAACGGCCAAATTCAGCATTACCACGCGCAAGTCCGCGAAGGATGCGTCATCGATGACTCGCCTCCAAAGTCCTTTTACAAGCTTTCACTCTGCAACATACAAGATTCAACATGAGGCTACATCTACCAGTCGCCAACATTTCGAGTCATCGCACCGTGTACTGCATCGAGCTGACGACGGCCTTGTGCCAACTTGCGGGTCATGCATGACCTGCGTGAAACCACAAATCATTTTGTAAATACTCTTTTTCCCTCAATACTACACACACTTTACTGGTACCTGGAATTTGTGCTTGTTTGGCCACAACCACCACAATACAAGAACAGTGTTTAAGCCTGCCACAGCGGGAAATGCATCTCACTGGGACGCTGTTGTGATCACCGACCCAACCGACCATTACCTCCCCTGCCACGAGCTCCACACGGGGCCACTTGGCACCACATCAGCTCCACACAGCATACAATGACGGCGAGGTCCATAACCTCCTCCACTATTAACCCCACACTGCATGTAATGGCGGCGAGGGTCACCACCGCCCCGCCACCAGCTCCACACTGCATCACACTGCACGTAAGGGCGGCGAGGGTCATCACCTCCCCCGCCTTCAGCTCCACAAGCGTCTCGTCACAGGATCTCACGCACCGCAGAATTAATACGCCGCACTTCACTTCACGAACCCTTCACGCCACACTCCAGAACTGCTTCCTCGCTGATGGCAAGTTATGATGTATGACACACTTGTTCTAAAAAATTATTAATACTCTTTCAGAGGTTGTCCGATTGTCCGATCAACTTTATTTTTGTCCGAACAGAAACGGTATGGAAGAATATCGTGTCTATTCGGACATCAACTTTATGACATTTAAAGATTGTATTAGTAGTCAGCCAATGGGATATGTTTAGAATTTGATTGTACCCAATCAAATCCATAAAAAAATCAATGTTTTAAACTCGGATAATACGGACATATTGTGTCCGAATATATCGTGAATATTTAATATTCTTCAGTAACTTCAAATCAAATGAATATCATTAAAATATCGTAAATATTCGGACAATTATCATATGTGTCAGGGTCCTCAGAGGAGTCACTGTGAACCACTTAAACCCCATCGATGTCGACGAAGGCTCTGATTCCCGGCGCTGAATGCGTTTGAACGCTTTGCGGCGTCTGAGAACATGACCATGAAGACTATGTACAAGCTAATTGGTGACGATTCTACAGGAGAAGTACTCTACCTTGTGTTGGACAAGCCTGGCGTCTTTCTTGATTTTAAAGAAAGCTCGAAGGGGTCGTTGTTGTCTAAAACCTCCGTGGCCAGCTACTTTGGGAACGTAAAAAGACATCTTATAGAGCTTTACCCAGCTGTTGGGGCTGTGGCAGGTCGTCGTTTGCAGAAAATAGCTTCTGTACTGGACAAGTATTGCTCGAAGAGGAGTACTGAATTTACCCACCAAGCGCCTCCGTGCACCAAGAAAGACCTACGTCTTTTGACTACTGCAATACTGAGTGAGGCTACCCATGATGACGACTACAAGGACGCTGCACTTATGAATTTACTTTGGTATTTCCTGGGCCGGTCTTCAGATACGATGTCTTTACTCAAAAGTCAAATAGCAGTTTTCCCTGGTAGGTATTGAGAGAGCACAGGAGCTCGCAATGACTAAATATCGTGGGCCGGTAGCACCCCGGAATTTAATTTGTTTTTACCATTGATATTTTGGTAATTGTATTTTATTTTGCAGGAGGATGTATCTACATCAATTTTAAGCGAATGAAGTCTGCTAGCTGTCAAGGTGCTTCACTTTTTCACGACCGTGCAAACTTTGCATCTTGCCCTATTCACACAGTTGCCGTGGCCACAATAATGCAATCTACTCCAAGCGAATATTTGCTTGACCACCTCCCTCGCGAACCGGAAGACATCCATCAAATCCACCTAGGTGAGACGTCTCTAATTGAGCTGCTCGAAGCGAAGGTTGCCTCTGGAAGAGAAGAAGATGCTCTGAAGACCCAGCTTGAGCAGCACCGTTCCACAGTTCCAGGAATCCACGCGTACGTTAACCGATTGCTTCGAAAGTGGAGTGCTTTTTGCACAAAAGATGGAGCCGCTTTGGCGAAAGGGTTGTCATCCCATTCATTTCGGCGCGGCGCTGCTCAAAGTGCAAATGGTAGCAGCAGCATTAGTACCCCTTGGATAATGGATAGGGGCGGTTGGAGTATGACCGCGGTCAGTAAGGCCTTCAATTACATAGTGAACACAACGCAAGAAGATCAAGCTGTGGGAAAAACGCTTGCTGGATGGGATTAAAGAGTGACGCTCGTCTACCAACTTTTGAAGGCTTCGATGATGTAGTCGTCCGTCGGGTTCGTCTACTTCAAGGTCTCCTCTTTGGAATTGCTCAAGGATTCTCGGATACTCTTAGCTTACGCGATGACGCGGTGGAAGTTTTCATGGCGGTTATCATCTTGCATTATCACGACATGGTTCAAATGGCTCCAAGTTCCCCCTATATTGCACGTGTACGACAAGCATTAGGTAAGCTCCATATCACAGAAAGCGAGGTGGCCTCATGGTGCCTTACCATTCACAAGACCCTTATGCGTACACAACACGTAGATTCTCAACAAGCGGGTCGCGGCCAGACCGCTGAGACGAGAGCTGACGAGCTACTTCGCAAGCGAACCACGCTGCTTGAGCAGCAAACAAAAATTGTGGACGGCTTACTGAAGCAAGTCCGCCTGCTCAGCGACCGCGTACAGAAGCTTGAAGGTTCATCTTGTGGTCCGGCAACACCGCTTCCAGTACCACCGCTTCAACCTGGTGCCAGCGATGTCAATCGACCAGCAGCAAGGCTCGCCGCTGCTGGTCGAAGGAAATCAGGACCCAAGTCGCTAACGGCAGTGTGGCTCGAGGGGTTCTGCAAGTTGGAACCCTATGCACATGAAGACCGTAGACGTTACCATGAGATGAAAGTTACGGTTGCATTTATGCGTTTATTCTTACCGAATGGGTATGACGCCACTGGGAACTGCGCTGCCGACAAAGAGCGAATTCTAGAGACTGGTCGTGAAGCTGAAGCGAATATCCGAGTCCTGCTAGATTCACATCACAAGAAGGCGAAATCGTACGGGACTGTGATTAGAGTTCTAAAAGAGATGCACGAGGCGGGCAAGCTAAACGGCCAAATTCAGCATTACCACGCGCAAGTCCGCGAAGGATGCGTCATCGATGACTCGCCTCCAAAGTCCTTTTACAAGCTTTCACTCTGCAACATACAAGATTCAACATGAGGCTACATCTACCAGTCGCCAACATTTCGAGTCATCGCACCGTGTACTGCATCGAGCTGACGACGGCCTTGTGCCAACTTGCGGGTCATGCATGACCTGCGTGAAACCACAAATCATTTTGTAAATACTCTTTTTCCCTCAATACTACACACACTTTACTGGTACCTGGAATTTGTGCTTGTTTGGCCACAACCACCACAATACAAGAACAGTGTTTAAGCCTGCCACAGCGGGAAATGCATCTCACTGGGACGCTGTTGTGATCACCGACCCAACCGACCATTACCTCCCCTGCCACGAGCTCCACACGGGGCCACTTGGCACCACATCAGCTCCACACAGCATACAATGACGGCGAGGTCCATTACCTCCTCCACTATTAACCCCACACTGCATGTAATGGCGGCGAGGGTCACCACCGCCCCGCCACCAGCTCCACACTGCATCACACTGCACGTAAGGGCGGCTAGGGCCATCACCTCCCCCGCCTTCAGCTCCACAAGCGTCTCGTCACAGGATCTCACGCACCGCAGATTTAATACGCCGCACTTCACTTCACGAACCCTTCACGCCACACTCCAGAACTGCTTCCTCGCTGATGGCAAGTTATGATGTATGACACACTTGTTCTAAAAAATTACTAATACTCTTTCAGAGGTTGTCCGATTGTCCGATCAACTTTATTTTTGTCCGAACAGAAACGGTATGGTACACAATTCCTGTATTATACCTTCAGCTACCAAAAGGTACTCAAATAGGACCGGTACACTAATTCTAGTCCTACACAGACTCTTCGTTGTCCCAAATCGTAAACTCATCGAAATAGTCCTCACTGAGGGCACCCCCGCTATCGCTCACGTCGTCAGCATTTTCGCTAGTGCGCTCCTTCCACTTTGTGCAAAAGAGCTCGCCGTAAACGTCGTGTCGCGCCACATGCCAATCTCCAAATCTTGGAGAAAAACCAACTGCTGCCACCGAGCGCTCAACGGCGTCAGCTGAAACATCGCGCCAAGCGACGTTCACCTAGTTCGCCACGGTCTCAACCGATGGTGGCTTTGGATTTCCTCCGCGAGTGTAGAGCACAGCATCAGACTTATTCCAGCTGTCAATGATGGGCGACAGCTTGTCCTTGAACGACTTGTAGATCCCGATATCTCCCGCTTGCACGTAGGGTGTCGTGCCTCCTGGGATGACGAACATCTGCACCCCTTTCGCGGCGCACCGAGCCTTCCCCATCTTAGAGATGTGTACACGCATGCTGTCCCAGACCAGCGCTTTTCCCTGCGTGCACGTGTCGAAAATGGGCGGAAACACCAGATCCAGCCAACGAGTGAGAAGCGCCGAGTCGACCCATGCCTTGGGTTAGTTTACGACGTAGACGTTGCCGTAGCGCTCAATCTTGCCATTCTGCTTGGCCCCTTTCCAAACAACAGCGGGGGAAGCTTGCGGCCGGTTGCCGTGACGGCCAGCACAGCCGTCACCCGCATTGAACACGACGTGGCGAGCTCCAACTTGGTCCACCGTCTGGCGGCGCGGGTCCTCGAAGTAGACGGCCGTCTCATCCATCAGGACGGTGTGATCGTCGCTAAGCCCATCGATGCGTGACGTGAGATAGCTTAGAAAGATTACCGCCCGGTCGGTCAACACGTCATCGGTTAGCACGGTAAGATTGGTGGTGCGGCGCAGCGACAGCCCATACGGACGCATGAAGCCGTTGACCCAGCGGTCCGACGCAACGAAATCTGTATCGCCCAGCTCAGATGCGGCAAGCCGCTGCCCAGCGTCGCAAATCCAATCACGAGAGACTTTCTCTTTTGCAGACCGACAAAACCGCACTTGATCGAGCAGGATATCCTCGATCTCGGAGAGCCGTGGCTTAGCGCCCGCCCCAGCCAGGCGGCTGCGTAGCGCTTGCGCGGCCTTGATAGCGGTGCGCTTCTTCCACCAGTAGCGCACCTGATCTTCGGAAACCTTCCAGCCGCGCTCGTTCTTGAAGTAAACAGCGGCAGGGGTGGGCACACCGCCGTTTTTCTTGATCCCCTGAACGACCTCTTTCTTCTCGGCCATTGACCTGGGCATGCGTGACGACGGCATCTTCACCGGGAGTGCTTTTGCTGCTGGGGGCTTGTTGGGACTGGTAAAACTCAGAATAAAGAGAGCCGACCAAGAAAAATGGTGGTTCTGGTCATTGGTGGCTGGTGGTTATGATATTATATTTGGTACGGTACAGTATTATTTGAGTACCGTCAAAACGGTACACAATTAGGTCTAGGTATACGTTTTGGAGGAGTACTCTATTCGGCATTATCTGTTAGTAGCCTCAGAGAGAGGAACACATAAAAATGTACATAACTTCAAGTACAATGCTCGGATTGAGGTGCTACTTGTGTCATTCCAAAGAAAAACACAAGTTGATTTTTTTTTAATTTTTTAGATACAGCTGTGCTATATCTATGCAGTTATGTGCGAAGACGATCGATTTGACGGTGTTGCCAGTTTAGTAGCCGTTTTAGACTGGCTTTTATTATGCTCTGCTGTTCAGCTGACAGACCGAATGTTCCTCAGGGCTAGGGATTAACGAGTCCTGTCTCGAGTCATACTATAATAAGGCACATTCAACCGTTTCTTTTCGTCGCATGCGACGGAAAACCATGATTGATTGGTTAACGGGCTAGGTGGTCGCATGCAATGAATCACATAAATAGACTCACATGCGACGAATTCGACTCAGGTGATAATTTCTTCGCACGAGGACGTTCCTCAAAACCACCGATCAGAACGCTATTTGTCTCGATTATCGAGACAATGGAATTCGAGGATAAATTTACTTCAATGTGGTCTTGTCGATCTAAGCGCGATACCTCCAATAACAACCTTTGCTTTCTTTCTCCTGCTCGCACAAACCGTACGATGCTCGGACCGCTTCCTCCTTCCACCAGCCAGAGCTCACAATACTGTGGGGCCGACGACGAGGAGTTATGCTCAGATATTTTGCCGACTGATGTCTTTGTGGTGGCGAAAATCAAGGTACAGTAAACTGCGTGTTGTTCGAGAGCGGATTAAATGGAACACACGCGCCGAGCGCTTACAGTAGTACTGGAAGGGCAGTTTAAACTGTATTACTGGATGCGTTTTGCCGGATTCGAGCGATTATTGTCTTTGGTGGGTCGGTCTAGATCCCTTGCAATCTGCTCGCAGAGCTCTCGAAGAGCCTCTTGTGTCGCCTGTGAGGATGTTGCAGACGTGTGTATCTTGGTTAGCTGGTGGCAGCTACCACCATATTCGCTGTATAACTGGGACAAGTAGAGCAGATTTTTTCGGGTCGTACATACCGTATTGCGGGCAATAAATGGATGTCCTATTGTCCCGGCCAAAAAGGCTCGGACGGAAAATAAAAAAATCAGGTGGCCCAAATAAATTTGATAATATCTTGTCTTCCTGCTGAGAACTTAAGACGTGCTTATCCTTCTTTGTTAGATGCCCGTCTAAAGAAACCGCTCAGACATGCAGCGCGTCTTACATGAGAGCGGTATAGTCTAAATTGTGCACGTAATTTAGTATCTCTATCGCGAAAAGATGTAAGGCATGAGTCCTTACATACTTGACCTATCATAACTTAAGCTCAGCGCAAATTGAAGCCCTCAGCTTTCTTCAGTATGCTAAGTGGTATGCTAGCTTCCTGTAGCGCCAGGTTTGAGCCAATACGGGCGTCTGTGAGGAAAGTTATAGGCCGAATTCATCGTCTATCGGTGACCACCGTGCTGTTGCTGTTACATATCAAAAATGTCATTGCAGTAGTCGTACTACTGCAATGACATTTTTGATATGTAACAGCAACAAATAACTGCAACAAACAGTGGGTCTTTTCGACAGCCAGAATGAAGGGGAAGGGCTTCGAATTTGCAAAAACCGACATCCGATTCGGACCCAGCACCCATTTTTACCGTATATATCTAAATGTCGATATAGGTTTTCGAACGGCAAAACACCTTAATTATAGCGCAAAGTCCGTCCGAGGTTTGGTGGCCGGTACAATAGTATAGCGCTCGAGCTTCCTGTCACCAATGATGATATGGAGGCTACGGCGGTTGGATTTTGCCCTTTGAGTAGAGTTAGTGCAATACCGGGCTGCATCGGTGCTATCGATGGGTGGTTGTGTCCGATTAGAGTGCCACGTACTGAGGCGTGCTACAGCATTTTTTTCTGGTCACTACCAACGTTACGATGTTAACGTAGACGCATACGCAGACTATAGATGTCGATTTACTGCAATGACGTGTCGGGCTCCGGGGGGCCGCAATGATGCTGTTGCATTTCTCCAAAGGTCGCTAAGTCGCGTGAGAAAAAAAACATAACAGGGCCCTATTTTGTTGTTGGAGAAAACGCGTATCCTCAGACACATGTGGTGCTGACACCTATAACCAACCACAATTGAGAGAAGGATCCAATCGAGACAGAAACAATTTTATCTAAGTCAATGCTGCATTCGTATTGAAATGGCATTTGGACTTTTAGTGAATAAGTGGAGAACATTTAAAAGACCACTGTGCTTCAGCTTGGCGAACGTTCCTACAATCATACATGCTAGTATGTGCCTACACATTTTCTGTTTTGAATAACATCGCATTGAGAATTCTGATACTGTTAAACGCATCATTAAAGCCATATGTAAAGAAGTGAGGAGGTGGAACGAGGCCAGAGGCCTGCCTTATTGGTTAAACTCAGTATGAGACTGATGGTGAAAGCTGTGATGCTCTTGGACGAATCGATTCGCGAAAGTGTACTCCAACACATCTCAAGTCACGATTTACATCGACCACTTCACAATTCGCGTCGGCGCTCAAAGGATGTAGAAGTGAAATATTACATAAAAGGTAAAAATAAATTGATCTTGTTTAATATTCACTGCATAATTCATTTTCCGTAAAGCCTCAATAGATATCTTTACTTTCTCTAAATATTTCGCATACGTTTCCTCCTCGTGATACGAGGACAGTTTGATAATAAAAGCATGACCATAAAGAAGTAGGTCAAGATCCTGTTTTAGTCTCTCGACTGAGTCACCTCCAGTGTGGACCAGCTCTCGGTCGACATCTGCCAATTGTCGACGTATATCACTTAGCATCGTTAAAATGCTTGATTTTACTTATAGTCTAGAAGTTGTAGAAGCTGCAGCACGGTCCACTGCGGCCCGACGATCTCTTACATAGGTAGTAAATGAGACGACTGACTGCATATCATTTTCCTTGCGAGTATTGGTCTTTGATGGAATCGAGTTTGCCGAGGTATTCTTTCCGTGGGTTGAAACAGCATGATCAATCGCATCAAATTGATCCTTGTCGAGTATTCCACTCTTGACGTAGTTCTTGAGCTCTGGTTTTACCTAATACAAACATGCAATTAAACAGTAAAATATTTATTAGTAGCTACACCTTATAGTTTTCGGTCGTGCCATATACGTGCTTGCACTTACTTCCAACAATTTCCGCAAATACAGGACGAACCCACGACCACTAAACCAACCGGCGGAAATCGTTTTCATGCTGGTCAGACGTACATAATTTCCTTTCTGCTACAATGTAATACCGATTCGCCCCCTACCACATATCATACAGGTTTTTGCTGAGTGATCCTTGATAACTGAAGGATCTATGCCGACGAAGAAGTCATCTGTAAGCATGAACTGGCTGTATGTGTTTATTTCCGGGTACGAATATTATCGTGAGAGCGAAAACCTGGATTTCTAATCGATGCTGTAGTCGATTTGACACCACTGTTGCTCCAGGAATCGCGCGTAAGAAGCTTCACCGCCGGTGGTTTGCTTTGAAACTGACTACCGTATTTAAAAGGCGTCAATTTATTCTGTTATGTATGGTCGCATAATCATTTTCAACCGCTGCGACCGCACTGTACATATTCATGCGATGCGATGCGGCCGGTTGTGAATGGGCCTAATAAATCGAGCACCCACGGGAGTTTATCAATTGCTGCAGTATCAAACCTTACACCCATGCTCTCAATGCCGGGCTCTTTTCAATCACAGGTAGCGTGGAGTGCATCTCAATCGCAGGCTCAACAGTAGACAGCGCGGTCATCGCGTACTGGGTCTCGATCGCGGGTAATACCGCAGTTTCTCTGCTAGCTCGTCTCGGAGCTCGGTTATTGTTTTTGCCGCGGTTGTTGGATGCTTCCTCCTCTTCGAGAAGCTTACGCGTCAGAATTTTTCCTCTTGTGCGCTTACGCTTCCTTTTACTTGTTTTTGTAAGCGATGCTGGCAGGATCAGAAACTCCTATCGCACCACTTCTGATACTTGAAGCCCACCAATTGTGCCACTTGTTGCGCCTTCTCAAGACGTTCTCTGCGGCTGACAGAATAATCAACCTGTTGCCGTCCAAGAACCCAGTCGCGAAGACTTACTTCCGCTTCTTGTGGCAAGCGAGGCGACGGGTCACAGCGTTTTGGCTCGCGAGGGATACCTTTGCGTGCTGCAGTCTCGTACTTCTTAAGGGTACTATGCGGTGTGCCACATTTATCACTGGTCGCCTTCGTAGTGGCCCCAGCTAGCACCGCTTGGACGGCCCGTCCAATTCTGCTTCTGTGTAGTTCCCGCGAAGCTGTCCCATTGCTCTTGCCTGCTGGAAATCGGACTGCCAGTCCGAAATTGGCGGGAATGGGTTGCACTACGGTATATATAATGCTTCCAGTTTTCTCACAAAATCGTCCGACATCGATTTTGACAAATAAAATTACGCTTTGAAAAGATTCATTGTCGGTACCGGCTGAAAATAAAGCGGCTACTAAGCTGGCAAAGCTACTAAACTGTCAATTTACCTTACGGAAAACGCTGGCACTTTCAAAATTGAACAGCTGCTTACATAACCTATATCGTCAACAAAATGTTAATGCACTCAAATTAAACCAAAAATGTGGAACTTGGCGCATGGAGTCCATGCGCCGTGAATGTGAGCAACAACACACACATACATTCTTACCTCGAAGACGAGAAGGCTAACACGGCGTTTGCTGATTTGAAGACCGACACTGCTGACCAGCTACTGACTGTCTTTAGTATCGCCAGCACAAACAAAAACTTGTGCTCGAGTACCTGTACGACTTGGTCAGAAGAAGTCCCTGAAGAGTTGTCAAGAATTTCAACTGGCTTAGCACTGGTGTTGGCAATTTCTGGCTTTACACCTGTGCACGTAACCACTCCTTCCTTCGTCGTTCAGCGATGGATTCCATAGATCCTTCGCCACCCTTTGACTCAAAGTTTGAGCCCCGACTCGTAAAGTCCTGTCGACATTCTAGCCCTGAGCTGATTTCCAGCTCTCAAGTATTTGATAAAAGAGGTTTGATTTTGAGTCTCAAATTGGAGCGCAAAGTGGTGACTGCTGCTAGTAATATCGCTGCTTGTGGTGCCTCAGGACGATTGGTTATGTCTAGACGTTCGTTGCGCTTGCCTGGCAACTGGAACTTAATAGACAATGAAAAATAATTCGGCTCCGTTGGCGCATGTAACGGGATCATCTCGACGTATGCTAGCTATTTGACAGGCAATAACTTGGAAACACTACCTCAGCTTTTAGTGACATGCACGTGGTAGCGGATTCCAGCTCGAATATTGGAGTAGTGTCGTGTGGTCGAGTGAAAGTGTTATTAGAGGTTGAAGCTGTAGAGAGTGTAGGTCTTGTAAAAGTCTTATAGATGTTGAGGTAGAAGTGCGAGGTGAACGGTGTATTTAATAGTGAATAATGCTGATGTCCCTAACGTGCATGCCTTCATTGGCTTTCTAGTAGAGTAACAAGGATTTCTTACTGTATCTGCGTATTTCTGGGTTTTCTTTCGTGCCTATGTTGTCTACCCTACTTCCTTTTCTGTATTTTACGGCACTTGTATTTTTATCGAACTTAATGTAAGCTCACTGTAGCTGCATGCACGCAACGCAGCAGTTTCATTGACATTTAGCCTCTGGCTATGAAAAAGCAAGCCAGGACTGATGCATCCGTGCTGTCTGGCTCGTAGGCCCGGAGGCCAGAGGCAGATATGACATCTTCACCGGGTGATCTCTGACCTCGCAGAGAGGTAAACCCAATGTAGAAGCTGAAGACAATGTGAAACGTGTTTGAGGTTTGCATCGCGTTCTCATGTTGCTTCGGGTTCAAGCAGCCCATGCGGCTCCGCGAACCACTCGCACTTCTTGGCTCTGGGCCTCCGTGCTATTATTTTCCGATGATGGAAAGATCTTCACCTGTCTCATGATCCATACTCCAAGCGTCCCGATCTCCAAGATATAGCTCCAGTTCAGCTTGATACTGCTCAAACGTCCCAACAAAGGGTGATGGTTTGTTGCTGCCGCGTAGTTGAGGCTGCTGCACGCCCGTTTGTTGCACAGCCCCTACTGCTGCTTTCCCATTTCCACCGTTGCTCATTCTTAATAGTTAAAATTACACTACATTCGCGAGAACCTTTGGGTTCATAACCTAGCAGCTCTAGCGCTGCGAGTAAGTGTAGTATAGACAGAAGATGCGAGCACTTGCGTTGATTAAAGCAAAACGCAGAGTAACAGTCAAGATAAATCTGCCGTGCACGAGCAGGAAAGCACCAGCCAAAAAAACTTTGACCATACAACTCATCCATCGCGCTTGTAGTTCTACTCATAGACATCAATCTAGAGCACAACCAGGATATAAGTGATAAGGTGAGAGGTCTATTGACACGGTCAAGTCCCTAACTCACATAGCGGAAGGAGGCTGAACTCTGCAGAACGGAATAATCCCACACACGAGCAGAAAACGTTGTCCATATTCCACTGCTTTAAAATTTGGAGAGTGTACCTCGTTGAAGGAGGATGCCCAGTCGAAACGGATCACCGTTCACTAGAACCCGTCTTGACCCAGAAGACAATTAATCGTTGCATTTGCAGATGGTATGACCTACCAACGAAATTCAATTTGTGATTTCGGTATATTTTAGGACCAACTAACACCGTCGCGGACGCATTGAGTCGTCGTCCTGACTTCGAAATTGATTTCGAGCAGGAGAAGCAGACACAGATAAACGCAACCTCTCAATTGAAGCCACTAACATTGTTGACGTTAATTCGGCGATCTCAACGACGCGCGGGGTGGACTGAAGAAGCAATCAAGACAGACAAGAAGCTTTAAAATCTTCATTTCAACTCGGATAAATTACTCATGTACTACAATAAGAAGAATGGATCGCATCGGATCGCCATACCGTACGACGATGTGGAAATGCGAAGCACAATTCTGTTGGAATACCATGCCATTGCCACGTTAGGACACCCTGGCATTGAGAAGACGATCGAAGAAATTAAGCTGAGGTTCTACTGGAAAAAAAACCTACACAAACATGTCCGAGCAAATATCGCTCCGTGTGAGCCCTACCAAAGAAAGAAGCGCCGGACTGGAAAATCTCCAGGACTGTAACATCCACTAGAGCTCCCAACAGGTCGATGGACATCGATTGGCATGGACTTTATTACCGGGGTGCCCTGTACAAACTCAGGCAATGATACAATTCTGGTGATAGTGGACAGACTCACGAAGAGAGCTCACTTGATTCCGACCGTATTGAAAATCACGGCTCAACAACTCGCAGAGTTATTTGTGGAGCAATTTGTTAAGTTACATGATCTTCCAATGGATATTGTGTCGGATAGAGACTCATATTTACCTTTCCACGGTTTGGGAAGCGTGTGCAACAATTATCGGCGCAAAACTGGAGATGGCGTCGGCCCACCACCAGCGAACTAAGGGTCAAGTTAGCGAGCTAATACAATTCTCGCTACCTACCACGTCCGCGGATTTCGAAATGACTGGGACAAGCACATTGCCCTGATGTCCCATCTGACTTCTGCGTGTTCAAACTTGTCTCCGAGGTGGATGGTATCCGCGTCGTGTCGTCTAACCACATCCGAACTGGTTTCAGCACCCATAGTCTCCAACGCTGAGTCCGCCGTAGCTTGATCGTCGTTAGGCTTAATTCCCTCATGTAGTAATACCTTCCGACTATCATAGTATTGAGTCGCGTCATAGTGCTGGTCCACCGAATTTACCGAGACGGCAGAACTAACTTCCCTGAACGCAAACTCCCTTCCAGTATAGCTTACATCCTGGCGGCATGCTGTGGCCACGTCCGAATCACTCTCAGCGTTTAGACCCACTGACGCCGAGTCCACCGCTGTAATGGGGTAAGAGATACCGTCACTAGCTTACACTATAGTGTGGAGGAAGCTCGCAATAGTAAAACTAAGTCTTAGGTTTGTGTCAAATTCAACTCTGATTTATTTAGGACCAGGGCGGCTACCCCTGGCCTCGTGTGAACCACTCAAACACATGACTTTATCTGATTGGTCAATAAGTGAGTCTGTCTCCTCACTATCAACCAATCAGATGATGACACCTTGGCACACGGGTAGCGTGTGCCACTTTACCGACTTATGTAATAACTAAAGAAATATCTACCTACTTATGTAATTGGAGTTGGGCCCATTACATCACCCTCCTCTCTAAGTTGCGCTGCGCACGGAACACATTTGAAGAAAACTCGAAAACCGACAAGGCGGAGACATCGGAGACAGCGCGAAGGGCGGCAGCGCCAGCGCGTCGCTGGCGGTGGTAACAAGGGCAAGCCCAGGGTCGACAGGTGCGCCACAAGCGCTGGATGTACTGCGATGGCCGTCACTGCGTGTCTCGGCTCCCAGGACACACATCGACGAAGTGCCAAGCGTACATGCGACTTAGAAGACTCCGAACTGGAGGCACTTGGATCACGGACACGAAGAACCTCCATAGCCGACTTCGTGGAGAAATGGTCAATGCACGGGGCTTCCAGTCAGAACGCCAGGGTTCGATTCCCACCAGGCGCATTCACTCACACACACGCGAGTGTTGTTTTGCTGCCAGAACGGAATAGCTTCGAACATCTCGAAGACATGAGACTTGTCGACGGAAGTCAACCACTTGAGCAACCCAAGTGAGCATCCCGTTGTCACCACTGGTGTCACCAGAATCAGGTACTTGTTGGCCACCGTGTCGCCGCTGGTAATCGAAGTCGTTTCGGCGCCGTCGTAGCGTGTCGGGTTGACAACCCACTGGTCACCGGTTCGATGTCGCCGGTGGTTTCTTGTTTTCATTCTTGCACTGACAAGTTGTGTCAGTGTTCGCCGCGGCTCACGCCGACGTTGCACGCGTCGGAGCGCGGCGTCGTTGTCGTCTCCTCGTGCGGGTCGTTCTCGTGGACGTTCTCGATCTCGTTCACGGTCTCCGCGGGGTGACCCGCGGAATGCTTCTTCTCAAGCTGCATGGTCTCATACTCGTGGACCACGTCCGGAACGTCGCGGAGAAGATTGGCGCGGGGCTCCCGCGTATCATGCTCTAGGGGATAACCGAGCCAACGTACCAAATAGCGGCGCGCGGTTGGAACCGCACGAGGGACACGACTACGGACGTTACGTTGGTCGGTCGAGCTGTGGGGATCCTCGTGGTCAACGATACGCTCCACAATCCAGCGCGCATCACCCACCGAGTCAATTATCGGTGGTGGGCCTTCACGATGATACGGTGTACGCTCTGTACGTTCAGGGCGAGGTGGAGACTGTTTCGAACCGTGCGTTGGACACTCAGATTGGAGCTGAGCGGGCGGAAGATCGTGCCTGGCAGACGCGTCAGGCTCGTCGGGCTGGTCGCCCGACGCATCCTCCGTCTGCTGGCTCGGGTCAGGAATCGTCGCAGGGAAGTACCGCTTCAGTCGCCCGACGTAAAAAGTCGGGTGAAGTCTAAGTGACGACGGGATGTCCAGGGTGTAGGCGTCGCCCACAGACTTGGTTACTCGAAAAGAACCGATGAAGCGTGGAGCAAGTTTGTTGGCGCCGAGGTTGGTTACGGCAGAAGCTCGGATTCCCTCGGTCGATAGGAGAACGCGATCTCCTATCTTGAATGCATTCACGTTCTTTCGACCGTGCTTGTCAGCTTGTTCCTTTTGCTTGTCCACTGCATTCTGCAGTGCGTCGCGGACGAACCTTGAGATGGATTGCCTTTGCATGACGAATTCCGCAACTGCCGAGCGATCAGCAGGAAGCACCGAGGGTTTCGGTGTATAATTGGCCGTGTTAGCTTCCTGCTCACGAATCTTGCTACCTGTATCGATCAAGTTCTGCGACGTCCATCTCGTTATTGGAGATGCAGTACGCCGAGGAGGCTCGATGGAGTGCTTGGACGGAGAGCGAGTCAAGGCGTTCACACTGGCTACACCCGAAGATAACCCTGAAGTCGAGTGCGCCGGCAGGCCTGTTGGCACCGGTGAGGCTACCGGTGATGACCACGACACGGGACTCGTTGTCCGCAGGACTGACCGCAACTTCAGCATCCATGTCAACCGAAGGAGATCCTCCCCCACCAAGGGTGGAGCTGCCAGCATCCATGGGGTGGCCCACGGCGAGAAGTGCCGGAACACGTGGGTGTCGAGCGTTGTTCACGAAGAACGGCGTCATGCCCGTCGAGGAGTGCTTGACGTTGTTGAGTGCGAACTCGGCTAGCGGTAAGAACGAGCTCCAGCTCGTGTACGAAGTCGCGTAGCTGCGGAGAACGTCTTCAAGGACTCGGTTGACGCGCTCTGTTTGTCCATCCGTCTCAGGATGTGCCGCAGTCGACATCAGCAATTTGTTCCCAAGAGCTCGAAGAGGCGTGACCAGAACGCGGATGTAAACCGCGGGTCGCGGTCGGACACGATCGACTCCGGTAGACCGTGGTGACGAAAAATCACGTCAACGAAGTGGGCCGCGGACTCTTCCGCGGTGATTGAGGCTGCCACCGGAACGAGATGGACCATCTTGCTGAAACGATCGACGAACACAAGTACACCCGCGCGCCCGGCTGTATCGGGCGGAAGACCGAAGATGAAGTCCATCGAAATGGAGCGCCAGGCTTCCGTGGCGATCGGAAGAGGGCGCAATGGGGCCTGAGACGTCGAAGACGGTTTGACTCGCTGGCAAGTTTCACATGTGCGGACCCACTTGCGTACCCACTTGAACATGTGCGGCCAATAGAAGTCTCTCGACAGAGCCGCGTACGTCTTCTCGCGACCGAGATGTCCTCCAGTCGGGGCGTCATGATACTCGTGGATTATGCGCGCACGTAGATCAGCGTCGTTTGGGACGACGACTCGAGGTCCATCGAACCTGTCGATGCTGTACTTGAGCAGATTGCCGTCCAGTCGACATCGATCGATCTGATTCCGCGTGGTCTTTGACAGGGCACTTAGCGTGTCACTACTAGGAGCACGCAGGTGCTTCATGATGGCACCGTATATAGGGTCATCATCGTACGCTGTAGCAATCTCGTCGCCCAGCGGGAGCGTGGGCGTGGTCAACGTCAAGTTGATGCCTGACGACACGCAGACCGCACAT